CTTCGCCCTCTGGCGGCAGCAGTCGGCGGTGCAGCCCTTCAGTCCGCCTCCTCTCCGGGGGAGGCCTGGAAGCTGGAGTAGAGGCGGGGCGGTGCTCTCTAAAGAATGATCAACAGGGATTGCATCCTGGGTTCCCATGCCAGCAAATACAAGTCACTGCCTCTCTCTCATCCCTGCCCTTTCCGCTCTTCCTGTAGGGGCGAGCGGCAGGGCATCAGAAAGAGCACTGGGCATCTCAGTCTTACAAGCTCAGGTGCGAGCCTCAGGCTCACCATTTGGCTTTATAAATGCCCTCATCGGAAAGTCAGGCTACCAGGCAGCTCCCTGTCGGGGAGTCGTGAGGGTGAGAGGAGACACTGTACTTGGAGGCCTTGTGCAGTGCTCTGTGAACGGTGGCTGCCTTACCCGCGTTAGGACAATTACTATCCGTAGATGATCTGGGAATTGTTACCCATCCAATCAGGAGCAGAGTGAGTTTGTTCTCATCCCCTGCGATGTCCCTCAGCCATCAGAGGGAGCTGTGCCTGAGGCTGAGGCTGAGGCTGAGGCTGGGACTGAGGCTGGGACTGGTGGGGGGGCCCTGCTGTCGTATCTTCTGAATGGCGTGTGACTTCTCACAGCCACCCCAGGCGGCATCCCCGGAGCCCGGCCCCTGGTGGTCCTGTGGGGATAGGGTGGCTTCGGGCTGTAGGGCCCTTGCCAAGGCCACTGGTTCAGCCCACAGACATGGGTACTCTTGGGGTGTCAGAGAGCCACATGTGGGATCGTTGTACTTCTGGGCCTCAAGGCCTAGAGAGGGTTGGGCCCTGCACTGTTCTCGGGGTGGCACTGTCCTCAGGGCTCCAACCACCTTTTCTGATCCCAGAACAAGGCCCCCCTGCCTCTGAGCCCCACCCTCCGCTCGGTCAGGACTGGTCTGGGGGTGGAGGTGGCCCACAGGATTCCGATAGTGCTGGCCTCACACTTCCCACCCTGCCCTGTCGTTGTTGGGCCCAGCCACTGGCCTGCAGCCCCACAGTCGTCCTGCTGCTGTAGGCATCCTGGGGCCTTCTGTGGGGACGGAGCCTGACCTGCTGTGTCCCCCCCGGGGAGCGGGCTGTGGTCATCTGCAGGGAGGAGCCTCAGCTTGCTCCTGCCCCGGGCTCTGGTGCAGCTGCTCATCTCAGGAGTGGGGAAGGGGCCCAGCACCTGCAGGGCGGCCTGTCCTTGATGTTGTGTGACCGTGCAGACCTGTGTTTGTCTCCGGCCAGAGGTTCTTCCTGCAGAGGTTGGGGCACCTGGCCTGGCTGGAGGCTCCGAGGGCCGGGCGGCTGATGTCCAGGACCTCATGTCCCAGGGCTGTGGCTGGTGGGGTGTTCGGGACTAATTGCTCTCTGCCTCCTGGTGCCGTGGGGCCAGCCCTGGGTCTGGGGAGGAGAGGTGAGGCCCTGGGGAGCTCATTACTGTGCCTTCCCTCCCTCCTGTCCCTGCTGACAGGGCCCTGTTTGTTGTCACCCCTCACCTCTGGGCCTGTTGCCCTGCAGAGCCTCCCCTGCCCCACCCTGTTTTCTCTATGGAATGGGTGGGGGCGGCCGCTCAGCCTGACCTGCACCCATGCTTCCCCCACCCACCTCGCTCTGGGGATGCTGAGCCTCCGATGGGGGCTTGCCACACCCTTGACGCACATGCCCTTTCTCCAGGATGCTGGTCCGTTACCTCAGCTCTTGATGAAGCCTGAGGCACAATGATGGAAGCCAGCCAGGCCTGGGTTTCGTTCCGACTGGGTTCCTTGCTAGTCATGTGACCTTGGGCAGGTCGCATTCCTTCTCTTGTCCTCAGTGAAAACCTGACCTTTCCAGTCTTCAGGGCTGTGGGGTAATTAAAGGAGCCTGTGTGTGTGTTGCGGGGGTGAGGGGGGGCGCGGGGATGGGATAGGTCAAGCCCATGGCATAAGGGGCAATTCGCATGCATTAAACCCCCTCCCTGTCCCTCCTCTGGGCTCTCATCTATTTCTCTGTTCTGCGGGACAACTCTTGGCGGTGAGCCTCCCCACTATGGGATCCCTTGTGGGGGCATTATATCCTCCCACCCTTGACTGTACATTCCTTGGGGCCAGGGAATGGACTCTGGGGGACCACAAGCAGGATGTGATAGTGGGGTGCAGCATGTACCATCACCTCCCCCAGAGCCTGGCGAAGCCCCGGGCATGAGGGCAGGCCTAGTCCCTGCTCTGAGCTATGGGGTGCCCGGGCCCAGGAGGCAGCTGTGCCCCGGCCATAGGAAGCCGCAGTGAGGGCAGTCCCAGTGGAGTGCCTGATGTCTGAGAGTGGGTGCAGGACCAGGCTGTCTTTGGTTCCATTTAAATGTTTTCCATCCCACCCCTGCCCCTGTTGGGTGAGCAGTTCCCCATCAGTAGAAGCTGAACACCTGCCCCCATGCCCTGCAGGTCCAGAGGGGTGGGCGTTCTTTGCCCTCAGTGCTGCCTCCAGACCAGACCCTCCCCATGGAAACCCCTACAGGCTCATGCCGTTTGCTCTCCCCCCAGCCCAGCCCACCTTACCACCATCTCCTGCCAACCAGCTACCGTGGCCTCCCGCCCAGGCACCAAGGCCGTGGTACCTCTGATTTCCCAGCCTTCCCCACCCCATCTATCCACAGTCCTTCTGTGTCCCCGGGATTACTGTGCCCCTGTGCTGACACCCCATCCTCGTCACCCCAGCCTCCGTTCTTGATAACCTGTCCATCAGCCTTCGCCATCAGCGCCCTTGATCTCCCGTTGCCATGGCGGCCACAGCCTGTGCCTGGACCTGTTCTCCCTGCAGATCTTCAGCAGAAGGATCCATCTCTCTGGCCTCCCTCTCCAGGCACCCCCCTCACTCCTCCACCCTAGCCAGCTCTCCTGTCCCTAAACCGCACTTTTGACCACGTACTCTCTTCCCATCTGTCCATCTCCTTTTTGTTGTCCTTGGTTTGGGGCCCTGTGGTCCGTCACATCAACTGTTCCCTCACCATCCATCCATCCATTTGTTTGTCCATCCATTCAACCAGCACTTTCTGAGGGCCCTGGTCTAGGTGCTGGCCTAGAGTGATGGACAAGACAGACATGGCCCCTGCGCTCTCGGGGCTTATGGTCTAGTGGAGAGAGAGACAAAAACTAAGCAAATGTCCAACTGAAAAGCCAGGTTTAGTGCTGGGAAGGAGAGAAACGAGGAAAGAGCAGCCCCTCCCTCCAGTAACTCCTCAGCCACGTTGTTCCTTCTCTACTCCTCTGTGAGGGTCGGCCGACTCAGTCTCCCCTCGGTGGTTCTCGGATACTCCTGGGGAATTGCTGCCAGCAGCTCCCAGAACAGCCCCCAGGGCTGGCAGGGCCAGGGGCGCTGTCCTCTGCTGTTCAGGAGGCCCACGATCCCACGGACTGACCTGGCCTCCGTCCAGCAAGGGGCTGTGCTCGTGGTCCCCTGGGCCCTTCGGAGTGTCTCCAGGTGTGCCACGTGGGCCCGGGCTCTGTCCTGTCTCCTGTGTCATGGCAGCAGCTCGCCGCGCCCACCCCCAGCTACACGCACTTACTCCAGTCCTTCCATTTGCCCACATGTCCTGGCTAAGGCCCTGGCTCCACCTCAGGCGCAGGGGGTATGGATGTTGGTCAGATTCTTCTGCTGCCTCAGGCTTCCTGGGGAAACGGAGGATCGATACAGATGGAACAAGAAGTGAGATTCTAGCCCTGACCGGTTTGGCTCAGTGGATAGAGCGTCGGCCTGCAGACTGAAGGGTCCCAGGCTCGATTCTGGTCGGGGGCATGTGCCTTGGTGGCGGGCGCATCCCCAGTGGGGGCTGTGCAGGAGGCAGCTGATCGATGTTTCTCTCTCATCGATGTTTCTGACTCTCCCTCTCCCTTTCTCTCTGTAAGGATTCAATAAAATATATTAAAAAAAAAAAAAAGAAGTAAGATTCTAGTATGAGGGAAACCTGGGCATGTGCCTGCCAGGTGGTGCAGGGCTGAGGCAGAGCCCGAGCACAGGAATCGTCTACAACCCAGTGGTCGGCAAATGGCGGCTCGGCAAACCGCGGCCGCGAGCCACATGCGGCTCTTTGGCCCCTTCAGTGTGGCTTTTCCACAAAATACCGGCTCTTCCACAAAATACCGACTTCTGTGCATGGGCCACGAAGTTTCAATCGCACTGTACGTGTGCACCCAAATGTGGTATTTTGTGGAAGAGCCACACTGAAGGGGCCAAAGAGCCGCATGTGGCTCGCGAGCCGCACTTTGCCAACCATGGGTCAGTGGTTCTCCGAGCACAGGCCCCGACCAGAGGCAGCAGCCGGGAGACGTGCCAACGCCCAGGCCCCAGCAGAGATCTGTTCAATCAGAAACTCAGTCTCACGTCCTACAGTGTCCTGATGCTCAGTAAAGTCTGAGGGCACAGGTCTCGGTGAGAGACGGTGGCTGGGCCGGGGCCCCAGCAGAGGGTATGGTCGGGGAGGGCTCTCGGGCCATCTGGGAGGCAGAATGGAGAGGCCTTGGTGATTGGGTGTGGAGGGTGAGGGCTATGCTGAGTCCAGGATGGCTTCTAGGTTTGGCTTGGGTGACTTCAGATCTCAAATCAGCAGGCCCTCTGGTCCTGTTGCCCCCACCCTCCTGCCGGGGGTCTCCATGCTTGTCTTGCATGCCTCCAATGAGCACCTGCTCTCCCCCCGCCCCTCCCCCCCCTTACTGCCCGGTTTCAGTGCTCCCTTCTTCACAAACAAGCCGCTCCCAGCCCATCCGTGGTAGTCAGGGTGGTTGCCACAGCAGTTGACATCAGCCATCTGGTCCCCGAGGAGCCTGTCACCCTCCCGCCTGCCTGCAGTGCCTCCATTACCGCTTCTTCGAGGAGCGGAGAGGAGGCATTTGGGGACTCCCGCCCTCATACACCCCCCATTTTGAGGACTGGGTGGAGCTGGGAGGGCCCAGTGGCCGAGAGGGGAGAGGAGGAGGGGAGGGAGGAAGGGTGGGTGGGGCCCCTCCTTGGTGGCCTCTTGCCTGGGCAGGGAGGCCCCAGCCCATTCGGCTCCTGGACCGCAGCAGAGGCAGCAGCAGCACCTGGGCCATGGCAGAGGACGGGCCGAAGCAGCCGCAGATCAGCATGCCGCTGGTCCTGGATGAGGCCCTGACCAAGCAGATGCGTCTGCGCGTGGAGAGCCTGAAGCAGCGCGGGGAGAAGCGCCAGGACGGGGAGAAGCTGCTGCGGCCGGCGGAGTTCGTGTACCGCCTCGACTTCATCCAGCAGCAGAAGCTGCAGTTTGAGCGCTGGGACGTCCTGCTGGACAAGCCGGGCAAGGTCACCATCACGGGCACCTCCCAGAACTGGACGCCCGACCTCACCAACCTCATGACGCGCCAGCTGCTGGAACCCGCGGCCATCTTCTGGCGCATGGAAGGCTCGGATGCCATGGATTGGAACGAGGCCGACGCCCTGGAGTTCGGGGAGCGCCTGTCGGAACTGGCCAAGATCCGCAAGGCCATGTATTTCCTCATCACCTTCGGCGAGGGCATGGAGCCCGCCAACCTCAAGGCCTCCGTGGTCTTTAACCAGCTCTGAGGCAGCTGCCCACTGCTGCCCCCTGCTCTCACCCATCTGCCCTGCCCCCTGCCCCCGCCCCCAGGTGTGTATTTGGGGACCTGTTTCTAGTTGCTATCCTGTGCTCAGCGTGGCCAGGACCCCCAGGCCTGTGTCCTCCCTCCTCTCCTCTCCTGGTGCGGGCGCTCCTGCTCAGGGAGGAAGATGCGAAGGCTCTGTAGTCTAGAAGCTGAACTGGCTGCCGCTGCTTGAGCTGTAGACCCGGAGGCCAGGCTGGGGCTAGTGCAGGAGGATGGAGCGTCCGTGGGCACCTGCCTTCTCTGTGCCTCACTGTCAGGAGAGAGACCGAGGGAGACCGAGGGAGACAGACACAGACACAGACACAGACAGGGATCCGAAGAACCAGCCATCGGCTTCCTCTGCAGACGGGGAGACGGAGACGGAGACGGCAGAGCGGCTCCTTGGGAATCCAGCAAACAGGCATTTGCTGCCCGTCCAGCCACATCCAGGAAGGTGCTGCCCCTGGCCTGGGCCTGGTGTGAGCGCCTCGGGGGCCCTCGGGACGTTTGGGCAGTGAGGACTGGCTGGCACGCTGGAGGCTATCGGACCAACCTTCTTGCTCTTCTGAGAATGACTGCAGGAGGGAGCATGAAGGGGAGCATAAAAGTCATGCAGAGATGACCTATCTATACATGTGCATATACGCGGAGAGAGAGCACGCTGCCTTCACATGGATATATTCTAGAGTCTATGCCTGCCCTGTGGCCACCTGACCTGAGATGATCTATGATAGGATTGCCCAGCTGGCTCACGCCTGGCCCGTAGCAGGGGCTTGGTTAGCATGACCTTAGGGAGTGGGGCTTCCTGAGCTGGGAGGCTCTGAGGTTCATACTGTGAAGGGGGAACAGTGTAGTATAGGGGTTCCCTCTGCCTGGGGAGCTGGGTGGAGGGGTTCAGAGCCCTGGAGCTGGGACCGTAGGTTGTAGGGCCTTGGATGTCCCCACTGGGTCGTCAACTTCCCAGCTCACTGGCCAGAGGAGGTGAGTGTGCCGCCTGTGTGCCATCTCTGGCATCTGTGGTGGAGCTGAGGGGTGGGGGCGGCCTGCCAGGTCAGTTGTGATGGCCGATGGTCAGAAGCGGGCTGCAGGGGGCCGCATGCTGTGATGGGAGAACACTGGCCTCAGGGGTCACTGGGCACAATGCACCCACCGAACAGGGAACACGAGACACCGTTATCAGCAGACTCAGTTCTCCCCAAGCCTCACGCCCCTGCACAGGCCCAGTGAGCCCCCTTTGAAGGAGGGGCCTGGCCCGCCTGGCATCAGCTGAGGGCACCTCAGGAAGTGCCCCCAACACCCTGCCGCAGGCCAGCCCTGGCTTTTGTCAGGGACGTGCCCTGTCAGGGACATGCCCGTGACATTTTTCTCACAATGCAGAGCCCTCAGGGTGTTGCAGGTCCTGGGAACAGATGCACTGAGAGGTGGAGGTCAGAGCCCTCCCCACTAGCCACGGCTGCTGGCAGGCGGGCCCCCACTTTGGAGGTGTGGGTGGAAGTCTGGATTCCTCAGGTGGGAGACTGGCTGTGGTGGCTACGGTCCTTTGTAACGCGGCTCTGGCCTGTTCCGGATGTGCTTAAAGTCCTGGCATTGCCTGCTTTGCTTCCCCACTGACTATTGGGGGAGGCCGGGCCCCTGGGGCTGGCCCTGCCCCCTGCCTCTTTGCTTGCCCTCTCCCTGCAGTTCTGGGGACCCTCTTTGGCAGACTAACCGCCTGTACCCCCACCCTGCCCTGTGCATGACCCCAATAAAGCCAGTGAGCCCCTGCCTCCGTGGTGTGCAGTCTCTCGCCGTGAGCCACCCTCCTCTCAGGAGCTCTGCCTTAGCCCCGTCCCCTCACAGCCCAGAGCACCCCTCCCCAGGCCTCTCCCACACTCCCGACCCCCCTCCAGCTGCTTCCTGGGATGAGGCCCAGCGTGGTCAGGTGACTGGCCCATGGTCAGGCAGCAGGAAGGAGTTTAGAACAAGGTCTCCTGACACCCGCCCTGGAACCAGTGCCCCTGATGGCATTTTCTCCAGTGGCCCCAGACCAGCCTGTGTGGGGCCTGCAGAGCCGGGCTGAGGCCACCAGGAGGCACCTTCTGGTTCAGGAGGTGGGGCCCCAGGGGATGGGTGGGATGCACCAATCTGTGCTCAACCTGGCAGGCGGGCTGGGTGGTGCAGATGGGACAGGGGCATAGCTAGGGGATGGGGTTAGGCCTGGGCCCAGGTTTCACCCGACCTCCTCACCAATTTGCTGCCTGTCCTCAGCCATCTCCCAGCCTCGGCCTCTCTGGAGGGGGCAAGCTGCTCCTGTGAAGTCCTTTCCGCCCTGCCCGCTGACCAGATAAGACGGATATTTCACATCCCAGTGTCCCATCTGAGCCTTCCTCAGAGCTCTGGCCCTTGCCATCTCAAGCTCACTCTGTTTTGGGGCAGAGACAGAGGCCTAAAGGAGGAAGCAAAGGGCGGGGACCGGGCTCTGGGTCTGTGGCCTCTGACTCCATGACATGCCCCCTGGGATGAGCAGAGGCGATGCCTCCACCTACCCGAGGGCCTGGTCTTGGGCGAGGCTAGTTCCTTCCCAGGGGCCACGGTCAGACCCTGCTTCAGAGCCCACACTGGGGGTTTTGCTTGCGAACAACCCCCTGCTTCGAAAGGCTCCCCCCAGCCAGGTCTCACATGTCTGTTGTACACCCAGAGCCCTCCGCAGAGCTCGGGCACACACCTGCGGGAGTCCAGGTGAGCCCTGCCCAGCAGGATTTGAGCCCAGCCACTTGGGTCAAGGTGGGAGTCCACTGAGACAATCCTGGGAGCATCCAAAGGCCGGGGACACCAAGGGGTGCTGTGGTGCACCCATTAGTGGGGCCCAGAGGTCTCTGAGTGATTCTGCAGTGAGTGCTGGTTAATGGGGTCCCCTGGGTGTGTGGGGGGGGCTCCAAATCCCACACAGCTTTTACCTCGCTGCCTGGTCAGGCCAAGTGAGTGCCTCGACCTCTCAGGCCTCCCTTTTCCCATCTGCACAGGGGGCTGTCGGGAGGCTTGCTTTTCTCCTTTGTGGGGGAGGTTGACTGGGTCACCTCGGCTCCCTCCCACCCCCGAGGTTTGTGAATTGTGTGCGTGCACCACACACTCCCTACACCAACAGGGATGACCCTTCATGCGTGCACAGCCCTCCACAGCCTATGCAGCACCTCCCAGGCCATGATCCGCCTTAGTCCTCACAACAGTCCTGGAGGGAGGGCAGGTAGGTACGGGCACCAGAAAGGTGGTCCAGTCCAGACTCAGGTCCCTGCGGGCAGCGCAGCTGGTGCTTGTCCCTGTGTGTCCTGGTCACCGTCAGCCGGGGCCTCACAGAAGCCGGTGTCTGGGGATTGCCCTCTCAGGAAGGCACAGCCGGCTGTGGAGCTGGGCCAGGCCCTGCCCGGGTGCTGGGATCCTGGCAGGAGTGAGACACGCCCTGCCCTCCAGGAGCTCCCCTCAGGGGGCAGGGAAGGAGGAGGAGCTGCCTGGTGGTGCCCAAGGGGGTGTGAGGTCAGGAGGCCCTGCAAGGTGCGGCTCAGCTATCCCTGAGGGACAGGGAGCAGGGTGCCTGCAGGGAGCCACACATGCATAGCTGAGGTGGCTAATGCCTCACAGGGTGTGGGTTCTGTGGGGCTCCAGGGAGGCAGTGTGCAGGGGTGAGGTTGAGAGCACAGCCACCCCTCACAGGCTTTGAATGCCAGGCCAGGGAGCCGGTGTCCCTGGTGATGGGGCATTTCAACCATAGACAGCCAAGAGGGAGGCAGCCTAATGAGCTGCCCATACCCATCCCTCTGCTTCAACAATTGTCAACTCATGGCCCATTTCTTTTCCTCTGCCCCCCTCCCCCCAGGAGACATCTGTATGTATAAAAGCCTAAGCAACCATTTTGACCAGACAACCGACTGGTAGCTATGACATGCACTGACCACCAGGGGGCAGATGCTCAACACAGGAGCTGGCCCCTGTTGGTCAGTGTGCTCCCACAGCCAGCCAACCTCCCTTGGTCCCTACCCCTGGCTGCCCCCGGCCCGATAGGCCCCAATCACCAGCCAGGCCAAGGGACCCACCCATGCACGAATTCATGCACCAGGCCTCTAGTATCATTATATTTCTGGATGCGTTTCTGAATGATAACAACTTGTTTCAAATAAAACAAAGAACCCTCACAGTAATAATATAACACAACTAAATTTTACACTAACTTTTTAATATCATCAAATATCCAGGAAATCTTCTGATGTACAGTCTGTGCCATAAACGCGTGTGTTACAGTTTGTTTGTTCGAATGAGATCCAGGTCCGCCACTGCACCTGGCTGCTCCCACTTCACCTTTCAGTGTTTTCCTTGCCGTCTCTTTGCTGAAGAGCCGCCGTCCTGTGCAGTTTCCCGCGGCAGCAGGGCCCCCTTGGCTGCAGTTCTGCTTTCTGCCGTTTCAGTTACCCATGGTCAACCGTGGTCCGAAAATATTAAAAGGAAAATTCCAGAAATAAACAGTTCACAAGTTTTAAATTGAACGTTGTTCTGAGTAGCGTGGTGAGCTCTTGTGCTGTCCCCTCCCTCCCGCCTGGACGTGAGTCATCCCTTTGTCCCGTGTATCCTCGCGGGGTAAGCGGCCCATCTATTAGTCGCTTAGCGGCCGTCTCGGTTTTCAGGTCAACTGTCCCAGCATCAAAGTGCTTGTCTCTTAACGGTGCCCAATGTATAAGTTGAGCTTTATCGTAGGTGTGCATGTATAGGAAAAAAGGATACAGGAAAAATAGAGTTTACAGTTACTAAGTATAAACTTTTCCTAAATTAATATCTCACTCTGCCTGATTTATAACTTTAGCTTTATCGTAGGTCTGTGTGCACAGGAAAAAACAGAATAGATAGGGTTTGGTAGTAGCTGCGGCGTTAGACATCCACCGGGGTCTTGGAATGCTCCCTGCGGGGAGGCTAAGGCGGGGAGGGGCTCCTCTATCAGGATTTGCTGGCTTTGTGTTCATGGCTGGATCAGGTTCAGACTCAAATTCTCTATGGCACAACTGCTTCACAGGCGATGGTCCCTCAGGAGGCGCGTCGTGTCTGGTCATCTCTCTGTTCTGTGATGTTAGAAGCCATGATTTCATAAATCCACTGGTTGCAAAATAGTGGGCGTCTAAAACTCCCATGTCTTTCTCATTTCTTAGCTGGAATGCATCCCCAGATATAAAGCTCCCTTCGTGCGCTATTGGTCCCCCCGTGGGACAGTTTGTGCGCAAAAGGCACAAACCTCCCATTCTTTCCCTTGATGTTCCAGGCTCAAAAACATGAGCTGATTCCCCGCCATCCTCCGGTAGTGACTAATTGTGTTTCATCATGAGCTCATGGCTGTGAATGTATTTGACATGTTTTCATCCATCGAAGTTGTTATCCTTGTTGCTGCTCGGATTGGCCGGCCGTTGGAGCCTCTTTAAATTGGTCCCGAATCCTTTGATGTGGCTCCAGGGGCTTTGGTTTCTCCCTTGGTTTCGGGCTTGATCTGATGTTGTTAGGAAGGGAGTGGAGGTTGTGTGCCTGTGAAGTGCTCCTTCTCCGACAGTCTTATCCCCCTGGCTTGGCACCCCTGCAGACAGCGGGGAGCGTGGGGGAGGCTGGAAAGCTGGCCTGGGGCCCACCCCTGCCTGATCCAATGGCTGTGATGCAGAAGGGGGAAGGAGGCCCAAGGGATCTCTCACTCCAGGTCTCTAGGCCCTGGAGCCTTATTAGAGCTTCTTGAGCCGCAGAGGGCTCAGAGCCAAGCCCTGGCTTTGGCTAATGATCCTCCCGCTGCCCCAGCAGGCCCTCCCCGTGCCCTGTGAGGGCTCTTCTTCCTCCCTCCTCAGCCCCCCTCCCCGTCTCCCCTCTCCGTGTCCCCTCCCCCATTCCCATGCAGTCCAGGGCTTTCAGAGCCGGGAGGAGCTGAGCAGCCTGTAGTGGCCATGCCAGTGTTCTCAGCTTTGGACTCCCCGTCGCTCTGTGCCCTTGGGCAGCCCCTTGCTCCTCGGTGGGCCTCAGTCTTCCTGCCTGTGTAGTGGGGATGGCACCCCACCCTGCATGCGCCCTATTTTGTGCACAACTTTCTGTCCTGAGCGTAAAGCAGGAGAGAGTGCTGGGGGTCAGTCTGGAGCTTTTACTTAGAAAGGACACAGAGGGGCTCGGAGGGGAGGAAGGAGGCAGGAGGGATTGGCCCAGCCAGTCTCAGGCCCCCGCTGGGTTCCAGACACTGCGCCAGGCTCCGGAGCCCTGAGTGTGAGTCCTGCCTCCCTCGCTGTGGCCCTGGGCGGCTCTGCCAGCAGTGTCTGTACATTGTCCCAGAAGACAGCAGCGAGGGTCAGGGTGATGGAGTAAACAGCGGCCCTGCGCCTGGCACCGCAGTCCTGGCACCTCCCGGGCTCCTTCATGACCGTGATGCCTCTCACTGTGCTTAGCATTTTCATTTTCTTGGTCTTGAATGTCCCACTAGGGAGCATGTCTCTTTCCCAACATCCCTGCTGATGGTATGAGGCGTATAAACAAAAACATCTTTAATGAGTGTGGGGGCTGGGGAATGGCTTCTGGCTGAAGTCTCTGTGCTCAGGCCCGCCCGGCCCTGGGGTTTACAGCCTCCTGATGCGTGTCTGGCTCCCCAGCCTGGATGCCTGTGTGTCCGCCCCGATTCTGGGAGTGGTTTCCTTCTAGAAGGAGCTGCACATGGTCCCGATGGTGCTCGGCCCCTCTAGTCTCCTGGTGAGCAGGGCCAGCAGGTCCC